CAACTTTGGTGCACAGTGTTAGGGGATGGTGGATTATTTCACAAACTGGAGAAGCAACACCTAGAAGGTACATTGTGCCATTAGAGATCTTCAAGTGAGGTGCCCAAATTAACCTCTTCTGCCTGCCATCACTTCTGAGTAGTCTGACCCAAAGCAACCGGAAAGAATATTGGTTTCTTGGGAGGCTGCTGAAGTGTGATAGGGTGTGACCAGAGAGCTCTGTCAGGCTGATTCTCCCCTCGTCTCGCCAGGTGAGGCCCCAACCGGGGCTCGCTGACGGCAGTCTTTCCCCATAGCAACACAGCCATGCCTGGAGAGATGCAAACTCTGACAACATGCAGAAAGGAAGAGATGGCTTCTTAGCTTTGTCCAGGACTAACCACAGAATTCTCTAGATTAAGATACATGTATCAGATTCATTTTGTTTCTACCTTTTCACGAGAGCACCCATTGGAAAAGGGCAGAGGCAGTCATGGGGCAAGGTTATGGAGTCAGACTCTGCCCTTTACAGCTGGTGACCTCAGGTGTTTTCCTTCAGCTTCTTGCTCCTCGACGGCCTCATCCAGAAAAGGGTATCGACCTCATAGGTTGTAATGGCAACAAAATCAGATAATCCAGGGAAAGCGGCGCAAAGTGTGGTCCTTAGACCAGCAGCAGCAACCTCATGGGCGGCCTTCTCTGAAAAGCAGACTCCCAGGTCCCATCCCAGACTCGCTGGATCAAAATCTGCATTTCGTCCTCCAGGTCATTCACCTGCATGGTCCTTCATCACAAATACTGACATTGGGGAAGCCGTGGTAAAGTGAACACATGATCATTATTAGTTGTAATTTTATCACTTGAGATTATCTACTCAAAGTAAATTCAGCATCACCGTTCTGGGAGTAAAGGGCTAAAAGGGATGGGGGGAGACCTTGGAAATGAGCTGCGAGGCCCCGGTTGGAAACCCCTCCCTTGTCTCCACTGTTGCTCATTTCCTCAATCCTCAGAGCTGAGGAGAAAGCACCTGAGGAAAGTCACAGAGACTTTCTGGGGACACTGTTGGGAAAACCAAAGTCAGGGAAACAAACAGCCATGAAACATGTGGCTTTTGCAGCAGGCCATGATTGGAAGCTGGCAAGTCGTGCCTAGTACTGAAACCCAAAAAGCCTTTTTATAAAAATTACTATTATTATTACTTCCAGCACAACCCAAGTCTCCTGCCAGATCATGGCTTTTAATTTAAGTGCACAGTTACTGCTCAGAAGTGATTCACAAGCCTTTAAAGAGCCACTCTCCTTTGGAAGTCGGTTTAGAATGCAGAGGGTTTGGAGATTAGTGTTGAGAGTGAGAGCATTTGACTGCCTAAGGATTCAATCTCCCAGGTACTTAGATACGTCGTCGCAGCGAGAACTGATGTTCATTAAACTGTAAGCAAATTAGAGTTCAAGCCAAAGATATAAAGGAAGACATAATTAGTATACAGGAGCCATCCACCATCGTTCGACTTCTCTTAGGTGAGAAGTCTTATGGTTGAGAATTAGTTCCTTGCACAAAATAAAATTACATAACTGCTTTACGCCGGCTGCTGATACTGTGGTTTATCGCCCTCAATTTCCAATGAAACGAAGCAGGAGTCTGCAAGACGGCATTAAAGTGTTAATTTTCCTTTTGGGCTTTACTTCCATTTTATCTTTAGAGGAACCCAGAATGGTTTGGTAAATAGCGTATTTTGCCAGCCAATAAATAAAAATCTATTTTTACCAAGGGGACGCTGGGCTGCCACACGCGATGGAAGCTTCCCAGGAGTTGAGAGGTTGGGAGGGCACACCATCTTCAGCAAAACTGATTTGGAGAAAAAAACACAGCTCCCTGTCCTCCAAATCTAGACTGCCCTGAAGTAATGTGGTTCTGTCAGGTTCTGACACCCCCTGGGGGCTGCCTTCCAGGCATAGCTCTAGGGAGACAGACAAAGGAATTGAGCTCCCAGAGCAAGATAAATCCGTGAGATGTATTGTGGCACCAATCCTGCAGCTCCAAGAGGAGCTTTGGAAGAAATGAGATGCCAGTTCTCCCTCCCCTCCACCCTGTCACACTTTATTGGCAGACAGTTGAACTAGAAATACTGAGGGAGCCATGTTTGAATTCGTAGAACTGCCATATGCCCTACCCCACACGCCCTCTGACAATCCCTCTGCAGACATTGTGATTTGGAAGTTGGGGCCAACTTGGAAAGAGCTTGGCAGAGGCCCTTCCTTGGATCTGGAGGGCAATGGTAGACCAGCAAGGTTGGTGGGCAGGCTGTGGACTGGGACCCCAATTCTCTGAGTCTGCAGAGCAGGCAAAGGCCTCCTTGGGTCTGGCCTGAAGGGAAGAGCAGTGGATGCAACAAGCAGCCAGATAGATCCTTGACAAGGAGCAGCAGTATGGCGGCTTCCTGGAGGGGCTGAGGAGGAACCCGAAAGCTGGCTGGGAGGTTGGGGCTCAGCAGGTGCATCACATCCAGCCTGTCCTCCACCTGCAGCCGAGGGTTCTGGCTTTGCAGGAAAGGTGCTGTTGCAGCTCAGTAGGCTGGGAACACAGCTTTGGAAGTTAAATAATGACAATAATAATAGCTATCTCCCAGAGAGCCCATTTTTACAGTGAGTCTGAGAAATGGATGAGTTTTATCTCTGTTTTATCAATGTCCAAACAGAAGTTAAGTGCATGTCTGCCATTTGCCTAAAGTCACCTAAACAGATGGTGGTAGAGATTGGAGATTAGCCTCCACACAGAAAACTAAAGCTGGCCTCCCTCTCTGCCCAGTTCCAGAATGTTCTGGAAGCTGGGAAATGTGTAAGACACAAGAAAAAACTTGGGATGTTCTTTCTGAGGGAGGGAGTAGCATGTCCAGAAAAATGGAGGAAATGGAGATACGGGAGAGCAGGGAAGAAACGAAGAGAAAGAAGGATCCCAAGAAGGAGAGAGGGTGTTAGGAATGGAAGGGAGTTGGTGGCCCCAAGTTCTGGGCAGTGAGCAGTGAGGCTCTCCACTTCTGTCCCCATTTTGTTTGTGTCAAGAACCTCGGAAACTTCCTGGAAGCTTGAGTGTGGGAACTGTAGCCAGGATGAAATCTAGAGGGACAGAGCACTCCGGAGAGTCCTTCCCGTCATGGAATATGGGGCAGCAGGGCAGCTACTGGCCTATTGACAAAACCCCAGTTGGAGCCTGAGACCCCTTACCCCCAATTTCTCCTGCCCAGAGGATAGCACAGGATAGCTAGGGACACTCCTTGGGGACACTCTCCCAGAGCAGTAGGGAGCAGTCTTGACACCCAGTCTCTGTTTACTTAAATCCCTGTTCCAAAGGAGGCTGCTGGTGGGGTCTCACTGGCCTTTAGGAGAGTGAGGAGATGGGGCCTCCCTAAATCAGGTGCGACGCCAGGGCCAGATTGCACAGAGCTCTTCTTTCTGGAGCTCTGTCAGCTCCCCACGTTTCGATTTCACACCTTTCACCCAAGTGCCTTCTCCCGAGGGCACCATAGTGTGTTGTCTGCTTGTTTGTTTTATAAAGTGTACCCTTTAAATTTAATTTCTTCGATGGCTTTTAAGATACGTGTACGTAGAGTTTGGACCCTCATTTGTTGAAACATTGGCGGGGGAGGGAGATGGAATGCAAGAGGGAAAGAGAAAACTAAAAAAAAAAAAAAAAAAAAAAAGTCCTTTGTGCCAGCATGGTAAATGAATCATGAAAAAACCTCCCCAAGCAGCCATCTCTCTGCTCTTTTGCTCGGGAACAGTAGCACCTGGCGCGCACGAGCCTTTCCTGGGCTCGGTCTGCCGGTGACTGGCCTCCTCCTCATTGGTGACCAGTTCTGGAAGGCCCTTCCAAGGGGGCAGCTGAGGGCGTTCAGCTTGCTGTTAAGGCCATCAGGCAGCTGAGCCCTGATATTCTGTAAAGAAACAGTAGTGGAGGATCCAGGACCTGTGGGAGTAAGCGGAGCACAACCAGGAGCATGGACGGAGGCCAGGAACAGAGGCAAGGCCCCGCCAGGCACCAAAAAGGATTCAAGGTAAGTCTCCAGCCTGGAGCCCTCCTGGGGGACAGCAGGGAAGCCAACCGACCCGGGAGTCCCCTCAAGAGGACGGCCAGGAGCTGCAGAGCTAGAAACGGGGCCTCAGACGTACAGACACCAGCTGTTCGGAGATTTCCAGGACTGTCCTGACGTCCTATCAGTCTTTTCCATTCATTTCTGCTCTAACGTCACATACACGTCGCTAAAAAATGTCTGAGTTCTACAAAATAGCATGCTAAAATAATAGGGCTTATGGGAAAAATAGAGCCGGACAGTCCATAAAAGTCTGTGGGACTTGGTAACCAGAGCACTAGCAAAAACAATCACAACCCTAATAAACTAGGAGGCTGGTTATGTCTCCCGGCATTTGCACTCGGCCTCACCACCACCGGCTGTGAATTCTTCACAGCCTTCACCTTCCCCCTTCTCCTTCTAAACGTGGGCCCCCGAGGGCCTCGGCTTCCCCCAGAGATAAGTGCCATTTAAATTGGAAATTTGAGGGCGCCTGGGTGGCTTAGTCGGTTAAGTGTCTGCCTTCGGCTCAGATCATGATCCCGGGATCCTGGGATCGAGCCCCGCATCGAGCCCGGTGTCGAGCCCCGCGTCGAGCCCCGCATCGGACTCCCTGCTTGGCGGGAAGCCTGCTTCTCCCTCTGCTTGTGTTCCCTGTCAAATGAATAAATAAAATCTTTAAAAATAAATAAATAAAAATAAATTGAAAGTTCGAGTCATGGCTGCCTTATTAGGTGTTTTTAACTTTGGGGGCAATATAATCAAGCTCCTAGGTATAACTTTTATTTATAAGAAATATTTTGAAGATCAATGAATATTTGATATGGCACCATGAAGATAACAATTAGCCAAATCCAACGGAAACCTGATTTGAACAAACCAACTGCAAAAATAGCTTTTTTCAAACAGGGAGAATTGAGTGATGGCTTGTAACAGGTGATATTCAGGCATTAGTGTTCATTTCGCCGGGTGTGATGTGATATTGTGGCTCTATTTGTAAAGTATCTGTTAGACATAAAAACAAAAACAGAAAATGAGGTAGATAAGTGAAAAAATGCTAACACTTGTTAAATTTAAGAGATGAGTATGTGAGGTTTATACTACTCTCTTTACTTTTCTGTTTCAATGAGATATTTTTGTAAGAAAAAATATGGGATCTTGTACTGCAGAAAGTAAAGAAGGGCTCAAAAAGAGAAGACAAATAAAAAAAAAACCCCACAATTATGGGAGCAGGCCAACTGAAAAAGCTCCCAATGGCCAAAGTTGGACCAATTTGAACATCAATAACAATAAAAATAGCATTAAATATAACCAAAAGTAGAAAATAAATATTTGTAAGTCCATACTGATATTAAATAATGATTATATAAATCAAAAAACTGGGAAGAAGAGACAAATCTTCTATGCAGAAGAATTCCAAGGAATTTGTGTTTATTTATACTCTGCCCTCACGGAGGTGGAATGTAACAGTGTGGGCTATGCATAGTGACTTCCTTCCAAAGACTTTGGGAAAGGAGGGGAAAGGAGTACCTTTACAAGTGGAGAAACCTGGCAAATAGTACCTCGGCCTGATGGTGATCAAGGTCAGCATCAACAGTGGGAAGTCATGTTGATAACAGGTTCCTTTGATGTATGTTAGAAATGCTTCCCGACCTCTGTGATCTTCCCCCAAATTCCTATAACCACAGTCTAATTATGAGAAAGACATCAGACAAATCCCCATAGAGGGCCATTCTCCAAAATACTTGACCAGTGCTCTTCAAAACCATCAAGGTCATGGAAACCAAGAAAAATCTGTGAAACTGTTCCAACCCAGAGGAGCCTCAGGAGACTTGATGACTAATCGAAACGTGGTATCCTGGATGGGATCCTGGAATAGAAACATGACATTAGGTAAGGAAACCTGAATGAAGTGTGACAAACGTACTATACTGTGCTATACGATACTAACGTGAGATGTTACTAGTAGAGGAAGCAGGGTGTGGGCCATGTAGGAACTCTCCGTACTATCTTGATGATTTTGCTCTAAAAAAATAAAGTGTATTTTAAAAAATAGGAGCAAATACATTAGCAAGATATAATTGCCCCCTCAATTATATTTTGATTTTAAAAAATGTCCCAGAACACTGTAACAGTTAAAGGAGTTCAGGTCAGTGCACCAGTGGACCAGATGAGGCAGGATCGGGAACCCCCCATCAACTCCACTCATTTTTATTCATTCCCAGCTCTTCCCACAATTCCAACCTTAACACCTCTGGAAATGCCCTTGGTTCACTCCTGCAATCCTGCCACTGACTTACTTGATCCTTGTTTTTAAGCAGGCTCCACACCCAGCCTGGAGCCCAGTACAAGGCTCGAACTCATGACCCTGAGATCAAGACCTGAGCTGAGATCAAGAGTCAGACACTTAACTGACTGAGCCACCCAGGTGCCCCAGGAGGTAGAGTGATTGTTGGTTTGTTTTTTAATAATCGCTTTATTGTGATGTGATTCACATACCAAAAAGCTCATCCTTATAAAATGTACAAGTCTCTTGTACTTAATGTATTCATAGAGTGGCACAACCATCACCACTATCTAATTTTAAAACATTTTCATCACTCCTAAAAGAAATCCCATACCCATTAGCAGTCACTCCTTTCAACCCCCACTTTCTGGCAGCTATTAATCTACTTTCTGGCTCTAAGGATTAGACTATTCTGAACATTTCATATACACAAACTCACACAGTATGTGATCTTTTGTGACTGGCTTCTTTCACTTAGCAGAAAATTTCCAAGATCCATTCATGTTGTAGTATGTATCAGTACTCCATTCCTTTTTTATGGCCGAATAATTTCCCATTGTATGGATATACCACATTTTGTGTATCCATTCATCAGTTGATGAACATTTGGGTTGTTCTCATTTTGGGGTTATTATGAATAATGTTACTATGAGCATTCATGCACAAGTTTTGTGTGGACATATGTTTTTTCTTTGAGGTAGATATCTAGAAATGGAATTATTGGGTCATACGGTAACTCTGTGTTTAACTTTTTGAGGAACTGCCAAACTGTTTTCCAAAGTGATACACCATTTTATAATCCCACCAAGAATGTATTAGGGTTCCATTTTCTCTTCACCAACACTCGTTATTGTCTGTCTTTTTTTACTGTAGATATCCTAGTGGGTGTGAAGTCAGGTATCTCAGTTGTGATACTGATTTGCATTTGCATAATGACTAGTAATGTTGAGCACCTTTTCTCTTATTTTTCCAGGTTTATTGTGGTATAACTGAAAAACAAAAATTGTTTATATTTAAGATGTACAGCTTGATGTTTTGATATGTGTATATATATGAAATCATCACCATAATCAAGCTAATTAACATATCCATCATGCTAGATGTTAAGCACCTTTTCATGTGCTTATTGACTATCTGTGTATCTTCTTTTTAGAAATGTCTATTGAAATCCTTTCCCACTTTTAAAATTGGATTTTTTGCTTTTTTTATTGTTGAGTTATGAGAGTTTTTTATGTATTCAGGATACAGGTACTTATCAGCTACACAATTTGCAAATATTTTTTCCAATCCCATAGTTTTTCCATGGGTTTTTTTTTCACTCTTTAAATGGTACACTTTGAAGCACAAAAGTTTTTCATTTCTATGGGATCCAATTGATTTTTTTTTTAATCTCATGCTATTGGTATTATATCTAAGAAACCATCGCTTAACCCAAGGTCATAAACATTTACTCTGATGTCTTCTACTAAGAGTTTTATAGTTTTAGATCCTGCATTTGGGTCTATAATTCATTTTAAGGCAATTTTTGTGTGTGGTGGGAGGTAGGCGTCGAAATTCATCCTTTTGTATGTAAATATCTAGTTGTCTCAGCATCATTTCTTGAAAGAAATATTCTTTCCCCTATTGAATTACCTTGCCAGGCTTGTTGATAACCAACTGACCATAAATGTAAGGGTTTATTTCTACTTCCTTGTGTTGTAATACCTATTATTTTCTTGTTGCGAAGAAGTATTTGTTCATTGCAGAAGTTTTAAAAAATATGACAAAGAACAATAACAGCAAAACTATATTAAAGCATGTTGTAGTCTCAACATCTAGAGCAAATCAGGCTTTTGAAAACCAATTTCAAAAGTTTTTGAGGGCACCTGGGTGGCTCAGTCGGTTAAAGGTCTGCCTTCGGCTCAGGTCATGGTCCCAGGGTCCTGGGATTGAGCCCCGCATCGGGCTCCCTGCTCAGCGGAGAGCCTGCTTCTCCCTCTCCCTCTGCCTGCTGCTCTGCCTACTCTATCAAATAAATAAATAAATAAATAAATAAATAAATAAATAAATAAAATTTATTTATCTCTCTCTATCAAATAAATAAATAAAATCTTTAAAAGAAGTTTTTGAAATATTTTTTTCTTATAAAGCAAAAACCTGGGGCAGGGGTTATAGGTGTTCTGACAGTCTTAATATCCTAAAAGCTCTATGGTGATTCTTATGCGCAGCCGTAGTTGAGAACCACATGCAGAAAAGCCATCTTGGGTTGTGCAGATGTGCTCAGATGGGCAGTGGGGATGAGGCTTGCACAAACATCCTGGGAGAAAGCTGCCACAGGACAGCATCTCTGCAGCTGAACTTGGAGCAGGCAGGGAGTCAGGGTGTGTGGAGTACTAGATCTCCCTCACACATGTCCCCTTCCCTTCCCACTGTTGCCATTCTTGGAGAAGCATTCCCATGCTGCTCCTACTTTGGTGACCCACCAGACTCAAGACTTAGCCTTTCTCTGTCTATGTTATTACTGTTTCTGCTGGTCTTTTTTGATTTCTTCCTAATGTCTCTTTTTTTCTAAGTCTTAAATTTACAACCTTCCAAGAGAAGATCTGACTTGGTCAGTGATTCACATCCAATGTGGAGCACCATGGAGTCCTCAATCTAGGTCACTGGAGATGACTTTTTAATCTGTCATTCAAATTGACCTTTTTGAGAGTGACATGAAAGCTAATTATAGTTAAGCCGGAGCAACCAAGGTATAAACCACGATTGTTCCAGGTAGACTTGGATGCGTAGTCACCCTACCAATCTTCCTTAGATTTACTCTAGCATTTTCCAAAGTGTGTTCTGTGTGAAACACTAATATATTATATCCTTCCTCTTCACACCTCTTTTTTGGTGGTTTATAGTGCACATTAGCATATTAGAAGCCAAGAAGGATTTGAATAATTTTATTCAAGATTTCCCATATTTATTGACTGGGTTCTCTTTCACTTCTCATGACCTGGCTCTAGCCAACTGGGGCATCCCATCCCATCCCCTTGAATTCACCTGGTCAGGGATGGTCCCATGATTGAGCTTGGGCAAAGGAGAGCACTGATCCCAGAACTTGCACAAAAACTACCAAATATTTCCTCTCTTCTCCTCCAGAAGACGCATGGTAAAGATGGGATTGCTGATTCTGTAAAGTCAAAATAAGCCCAAGTTTGCCATCAGCTCCCTGGAGCACAGAGAAGAAAGCCTCTGTACCCTACCCCACCTGGGAAGATCACGAAATGAGAGACTACTTCTAGGAGAGGATAAAAAAAATGGCAACGATCCCTGCCAATGACCAACTCAGAGGCCATTCATAAGGAAAAATGTGGGGGGAGAGAAATAGCTGCCCCAGAAAGAAACTGGGTCCTTGGTCACATTGTTGAACTAATTACTGATGGTTTCTCAAATGAGTCCAGCCCTGACTTTGGATTATTAGCTGATTACATACCTTTGCCTGTTTGGTTTGGTTTCTCTTTCCCCTACAGCTAAAAAAAAAAAAAAAATCTAGTTTGAGGAAAGCTGATTTTTGTCTTAATCTTCTAGACCTCTGGGTCAGGGTAGTGGGGGTGGCAGGAGGTGGTGTTCCATGTCACATATGCAAGCAGCCGTGGATGAGTACCTGCTCAGGAGGGGGCGGTGGTAGTGGAAGGCTGGGTGTACTTTTTAGTATATTATTTGACGATTTAGCACAATTTTCTATGGCATTAGATACACTTCTGTAACATGGTTTATAATCTCTGTATAGTATTCCACTGTATACATTTATTATCCATTTACTTGATCAACCCCCTGACTTATTCTTTTTAAAAATGATATAAATAATGCTTTGATGAACATCTTGTGCATCATTGTTCATCTCTGATCATTTCCTTATGGTTGGTTACTAGAGGTGGAATTGCGAGGTCAAGTGGTATGGCATGGTCTTAAAACTTTATACACCATTGCCAAATTGCTCTCCAGGACTGTTGTTGCATCAATTCATACTCCCAGTGCGTGCACATGAGAGAATGTGTGCCTGTGGCCATTTAAAAATCTCTGCCAACTAATAGGCAGGAAATTGGATCTCATTGTCTTAATGTGCCTTCATTTTATCGTTAAGTGGCCATCACTGGCCTGTATGGGTTATTTCTAGTCCAAGAAGTAGGAAAATCCACAAAGAACGCTGACCCCAAGCGACTGGGGGAGGTGAGCTGGAACCTGAAGGCTGCAGGGCAGTGCAGGGCACCCTGTGGGCTGATGGGGAGAGTCAGGGAGTCAGGCCTCCCACGGGTCTGGAGTCCAGGCTGGGATATGGAAGGAAAGAGCGTAAGAGGAAAGAGCATGGCGCAGAGGGGAGGGGAGGCTTTACAAGACCCAGCAGCATCAAGTAAATTCCTCTTTCCAGGGAGACACGGGAGAAGAAAGAGGAAAAGGAAAAGAAACTCAGATCCTTTCCAGTTGCGGGGGAGGGGTGGGGGAAAGAGGCCAGCCAGGGCTTGCTTCAGCCAAGTCGTTAGACTGGTTGTCGAGGCTCTTCACCCCATCTCAGACCTGTTCCTGGAGGAAGGGGAGGGCTTTGTGCCCCAGGATGGGGGCCGCCCTGCCTGCCCAGGACCGAGGATGCTTCTTCTTCTTCTTCTTCTTCTTTTTTTTTTTTTTAGATTTTCATTTATTTGACGGAGAAAGAGAGAGCATGTGTGTGAGTACAAACAGGGGGAGTGGGAGACGGAGAAGCAGGCTTCCCGCCGAGCAGGGAGCCCGATGCTGGGGCTCGATCCCAGGACCCCAGGACCACAACCCGAGCCGAAGGCAGACGCCTAACGGACTGAGCCACCCAGGCGCCCCCTGAGAATGCTTCTTTAGATTAAATGCTGGTTCTTGTTTTAGGAATAAAATTATATGGATTTTGTTTGTTTTTCGTCTTTAGCCTGCAGAACAGACCCCCCCAGGGACAAGCCCGCACCTTTCCTGGACTTCTCTGGCTGGCCTTCGAACCCTCTTCCCTTATTTGAACACTTCTCTCTCATCTGCCTTTGCCTGTGGCTCTCGGATCCTGCACACGCAAAGGCACCCCAAAGGCAATGGGACCTAAGATTGATTTTAAAAACTCCTGCTTTTGGTTTTTCCCAACTGCAAAATCCCCACGAGAACAGAGAATAAGTACAAGCTGCACATACTTCTACCACCGGAGGTAAGGACTAGTACCATGCTATTGTACCATCTAGTAGTTTTCCTTGGCGTAGATAAATATATAATCCTTTCAAAATGTGATTTCTGAAGGAATCTTCTTCCCAAGTCCTCTCCATACCTCTCCTTTCCCCACTTGCTCCAAATAAATGGTGCGCCACAGAGTTTATTGGAGAAAGAGAGAGAGAGCTTACTGCTTTAGAAATTCCCTGTGATGAGCATGAAGGAAATTACTACCTCACCACACATTTCAAAGATTTCTTTTGTACAAATATGACCTGTCAGATGGCCCCAGCTTCCTAAGCTGCGAGGAAGTGATTGTGAAAAAGATTCTTTCTTTCTTTACTTTAACAATCATAAATGGAAAATAAGATCCTAGCTGGGTTAGTCCCGAGGCCGAGCGGTTGCTGGGAGAATGGGAGGCAAAGAGGAGCAGACAGTAAGGGGGCTGAAGTGAGGGGTCTCTCCTCTGCGGGAAGCAAGCAGGGAGGTTTCCAGACATGCTCAGGGGGCCTCCATGCGGTTTGCGGAGCCTTGGATCCCAAGATGCCCTTATTAGCACTTACTCTGGTAGCTTCTTTGGTTTCACTGCCTGGCCGCCAGGGTAGGTAAGTGCGAGATTACCGATGATGCCCTCGGGACAGATGGGGAGCCCCAGGTATAGTGGCTGCTGAAGAACTGTAGACCAGGGCACCCCACTTCTTGACCCCACGTGGCCCAAAGGGGTCTGCCAACAGGTATTTCCTACTTAGGAGGATGAGCTCTGGGTCTAACTCAAGTCGTTGGAAAGCCCAGGAGATCTTTGGACAGATTTCTAGAACGGCAGTTGGCTCATCTAACTGGATAAGATTTCTTTAAAAAAAATAATAAAGGTGTTATCCCGACAAAAACAAAGGTGGTTTCTACTCAGATACTTTACTGGTCCTTTACCGCTCCTTAAGAATACTTTAGAGCAGCGGTGCTCAAAGCAGGGTCCCGGATGACAGCATCAGCTGGACAGACATGCAAGTTGCAGCTCCCCCCAGACCAACGGGACCATTGCTTAGACCACACCCATGCAGGTGTGACCACGAGTGGCTGCAAGCAAAGCCCATTCTGATGGAGCTTCGTTTTGGGAAGACTTGGGAGAAAGACCTTGCTCACATCCCCCGCGGGGACCCACGTGCCCAATCAGAATACAGTGGATAGCAGGTGGCAGCTTTAGGAGCTCATCTTTCTAAAACAAACTCAGCGCCCCCCCCCCGCCTTTTGCTCCATTTTCCGCTCTCCCAGTTCCTCACCCTTACTCCCATCCCTCTCTTCCCACCCTTAAATTTTCCTTCCTTGCCCCTGGATGTCCCCTCCATGCTAAAGAATGCTTCCTTTCAGGGACTAGCCACCCGCTCCATGAAGCCTACCTGGATTCTCCCCAGTAGGAAGCCTTACTCCCTTGGCTGAACCCCCATGGCATCCTCTCCAAAATCTGCTGGAGCCCTTGGCAGTCACCTGTGTCACCCCCACAATCGTGCCTGCTCTGGAAGGAGGGAGAACCCCCCGAGCATGCCAGGAGCAGTGAGTAAGAAATCACAGCAGAGAGTGGTAGGGAGAACTCTGAGTGAAGGAGAATGAAAAGCCACAGAAATAAATCAGCATCTAAATGGTGACATGATCGACCAAGACAAATTGGCCCCCTTGCTTCCAGTTTAAAGATTGATTATCATCTTAATGTTAAATTTTATTTAAATGAGCCTGTTTCTTCACAGTGGGCATTCAGTAAAATGTTCCTTTGGAACAGAATATTAGGAGAAAAAGAATAAAGTCTCAATGAAGATGGGAAATCACTAAAGGTAAAACTAACTGCATCCATAAAACTATCTCTGTAAGACTTACTCCCCTCGTCTCAAAGACATCCATCCTTACGTTTCTTTTTGCTACTGGCCCGGTTGCTCCTTTGTATGATTAACAATGAGTTCTTTAACTTTCTACCTCCTGACCATGCTCCATTCATGCAAGGTTCATCCTCACCTCCCCACCCTTCTCTGACATTTGCACCTCTCATTTCAGGAACGTAACTGCTGAAAGGCAAACTCTGGATCCTGGGAATCTAGAATGACCTTTGTTGGTCTAGCTTCTGCCTCACCTCCCTGTTTTACGTCGATCCACTGAACTTAATTCAACACCGGAATGTCCATAACGTCTTGCACAGACTATCGGTGGGAGGTGAGACCTCGGAGAGTCCATTCACCTCTCTTTCTCCAGATGTGAGAACTGGCCCGTTCTTCCTGTCCCAGCCCAATCGCAGCTGCCTTTGATCTTAAGCTGTGTGAAAACAGCCATTCAAATTCTAGTCATTTCCACCAGAGCAAGTGGGGTCAGAACCAGCTGTGTTTCTAGATGCCCATGCACCTAGATATGAACAGAGCGCTGGGGGCCCGTGAGAACAGCCGACGGGGGCCATCCTGGATTGGATCTCTGTCCCAGCACTCGTTAGCTGTGTGACAGTGAGTGGATCATACTGTCTGCAACCAAGAACCCATGGCCCCGTGTAGCCTCTTCCAGCTGAAAGGGAGGTTGTGAGGACTGAAGAAGAGAAGCAGGGAGAGTGCTTGGCACAGTGTCTAGCACATAGTAAGCACCCAATAAAAGATAATGCTTGGCTAATAAATATAACGATAATAGCAGACTTCCTAATTGATGTTCTGCTGGGATCCCAGGTACCTGTGTTTTGCTGTTCTTTGCTGTCACCTAACAGGCTCCCATTGGGTGGCACTGAAGCCCATACACGGACCCAGCTCCCACTGGGGAGTCATCCCAGACGGTTTCTGGAAGCTGGACTTGTCCCCTGAGCACCTGAGTATCTCATCTAGATCACTCTGAGGGCAGGACTTGTGGCTTGTAACAACCTGAGAACAGGGACTATGTCTTCCAGGTCTGTATCTTCACTCTCAAAAAAATCTTTGCTGAATGAGTGAATGAATGAATGAATGCAAAAAGGACCCTGATCCAGCTCTAGTTGAATTTCTTCATCCTCTCCAGCTCCAGCTAAGTCACTGTTTAATGTGCCTCTCGCCTGTCTCTGGGGCTCTGGGGCCTCCTGGACGAGGGACTCTCTTCTCTCCTGGTTGCCCATCCACACCCCGAGCCTCCCACCTGGAGCCGCCCGCCCCTCCCTTGGCAGGAACAGTGGAGGCTGAGGCAGACCTGAGCTGAGGCAGACCGGGGCTGAGGCTCACTGATGGCAGAAGATCAATAAAACTCCCTCTGCTAAGGGAAAAGTTCCAGCAATGAGATACGGCTGTCCTGTTTCGTATGGTAACCTAGAGCCGTTCTTTTTCCAATCTAACTTTGCACAGAAGCAAAAACTTTTATTTGAATGTCCTTTGATTTTAAACATTATCAATCAATGTGCATTTAAGAGCACCAGATAGGTGGTTAGCATTTTACTACATGCTGGGGCTAAGAAAGAGGGACTGTCTTGCTTTGAATATCAAGTAGGTTTCCTTTACAATTATAAAATAAAACACGCATTCCTGCTCTTTGCTTTCCTGGTGCCTTATGCACTCAAACTCCATCTCCAGGAAGGGAGCCAGGGGGTCAGAGGATATTGGCGTGGGAGGAGGTGATCACAGCACATGTGATTTTACTTATTGTTAGTAACATTCTCATACATTTCATAGCACCTTGAGTCAATAAATGACATAGTGTTTTAGTAAGAAGTAAGCATAGAGGCATAAATTAAATATAATTACATCTAAATTTAAATGGTTATCAATGAATGTTAGACTCTGGTTTTCTTGTTCATTTGAAGAAAAATATTTTGGTGGTTCCATGTTGGTTGGGCCCAGTTCCAGACCTTTCAACTTCCACTGTGGTAGCTGATGCACGGAACAGACGTGCTGGGAAGCTAGCTCCCAGGATGGCCGGGGAAGGCTGCAGGCGGGAATGAGAAAGGCAGGACCTCCCTGGAGCAGAGGGCCAGGCACAGAGCCGGCCTCGCAGAGACTGAAACAGAGTCCAGGAAGTGGGAGGATCTAGCACAGCTCTTGGAACCGGGTTCTCTCATTGCCCTCCTTGACAGGAGCTTATTGATCTTTTGCCCATATTGAGACACAGCCCCGCTCTGCCTTGACTTCTCCTTCCTGCCTTTCCAGTGAACTCCTTTCTCCTCTGGCCAGGACACCATCCCTGTACCTCGTAGATTTTGTGTCTTCTGTTTCCACGTAACTTGTATTCTCCCTTGGCCCACTTAGCTCCTGCTATGTGAGGGGCAGAGGAATCTTTTCTGCTTCTGGTTCTATTCAACAACCGATGAATTATCTCATTCTAGCTCCCCCCCAGCCCCTCCCCTGCCCCAACGCCTCCCCACCTCCCACGCTCCCAGTTCAATCCGTAGAAAGAGGATCAGATTTTAGCAGCTGGTCACCATTGTGTTTGGGAAAGGTGTTGCTCCATGACAACTCAGAGGCCTGTGGCCGAGGACAGAAGAAAGAAGGCCACCTTTGGCATCTCACGAAGCACAGCACCATGATATCAAGTACTAGTCAGGGACATTCTGCCTTCTAACAAAATGCTTGAGGCTTTTCTCCTGTTGCCCTGAACTGTGAGTGCCATCAGGGCAAGAAACAGGGTCATTTTACTCAGTACAGAGGACAGAGCCAGTTGGTTCACAGGAATCTGAATATTTTTTGGAATATTGAATGCTGCTGAAATATCTTCTCCCTGCACTTCTTTGCCTTGGCTAAATCCTACTCAGTCAAGGGCCAAATCCACAGATTAACTTCCGGAGCATTCTGGGTCTACATCCCTCCCAGCGCCCTCACTCCATACTGTAGTTGTGCATTTAAGCTTGGCAGCAAACAATTGCCATTTACAGCGGCCTGAAATCTTTTGAATAGTTTCTCCATAGTCTGCTCGTTCCCCATGATACAGATCTCAAATCCCCACCCAAGAATGCCTATCATTCCCAGCCTCTTGTGCTGGGGTGCAGATATGGATTTATATTCTGCCAGTCAAATACACTCAGGCAGGACTTGGATTCAGATCTAAGTTTCATGGGAAAAGAGGCCAGACATGGGCCATTGGTTCCCATCGCTGGCTTCGATAGTGGCCCCTGTGGCGTGGTTCCGTACGGAGCCAGTGGAGGGGACAATGGCTGCCTCATCCACCCATTCCTGTCTGTGGCCATGGCCCCTTGTCTTTTGGCAGACTATTTTGCTGGATTCCTGGAAGCGCAGCCTAGAGCTTGTTTCTCCCCAGTGATTTCGTGAGATATTTGTAAACTTAATTAACTCCTTTCAGTTTAAACGAGCTAGAGGGGATCATATTGTCTGCAACCAAGAACCGTGACCCATACCTGCCTTTCTCCTATCAGACTGCAGCTCGTGAAGTCAGGACCCGCTCCATGCTTGGTCTTTGCCCGTCTGGCCCCGAGGACAGCGCGCAGCACGCTGTGGGCTCTCAGTAACTACTGTTTATGGAGGACGTGCATTCATGCGCTAGTCATCTACATGTGCTTACCTGTGTACAACTCTTCCTAACTCGTCAGTATTCTTGTCGAAGGCAGAGCCATTCTCTCGACACCTCTTACTTTTATCTGCTTATGCGGATCATCGTCCATTTCAGCAACTGTGCTGGGCGCACATAAAGTTGAATAAGGTAGAGTCCTCATTTCTCCCTCAAACCAATGAAGAGATCCATCATTTTCCTATGTAACTATGATTTGTAACACATACTTGGAATGAGAAAGAAAGCAAGTGAGGTGGTAGTTGGCCATCCAAAGGTGAGGTATGATAATGCCAAAAATGCTAC